GATCTAAGTTCACTTCAATATGCAACAGCGAATTTTAACGATGAAAATAAGTTAGGTGAAGGTGGATTCGGTGGTGTATATAAGGTAAAATCATATGTAAATACTAATCATAACTTAGTGAAAAAATTATGTGCAAAGTTGGCGTGACAATTAAATTGGGATGGAATGAGTATTGATATAATCACTAACACTTGTCATACTAATTAATAATCAAATTTTCGTTTCAGGGTACTCTGTCAAATGGACAAGAAATAGCAGTGAAAAGGTTATCGAGAGGTTCAGGGCAAGGCGTACAAGAATTTAAGAACGAGGTTTTGTTGGTGGCCAAGCTTCAACATAGAAATTTAGTGAGGTTACTTGGATTTTGCATAGCAGGACGAAAAACTGCTTGTGTATGAATATGTACCCAACAAAAGTCTTGACTACTTCCTTTTTGGTACAATATTCCGTGACCTTTATATTCTATACTTGTAATGAAGTTAATTAGATTTATTTTCATAATAATGCTTGAATTGATGATAATTATTTTTTTTGCTTGCTTGTACATAAATAGATCCTGACAAACAAGCGTCATTGGATTGGGAAAGACGCTATAAAATCATACAAGGGATTGCTCGAGGAATGCTTTATCTCCATCAAGATTCTCGTCTTAGAATCATACATCGTGATCTAAAAGCAAGCAATGTGTTGTTAGACGTGGATATGGTTCCTAAAATTTCAGACTTTGGCATGGCTCGGATTTTCGGAGTAGACCAAACCCAAGGAAACACAAGCAGAGTTGTTGGAACTTAGTAAGTACTTATATAACTCCAACTCTTTATTCATAGGCAAATTATCATGGATAAATTCAAACATGTACAAAATTAATATATACATCGTAATACTTAACATTTATATAATGATTTCTCTTGCAGTGGCTACATGTCTCCAGAGTATGCAATGCAAGGACATTTTTCCGTGAAATCAGATGTATACAGCTTTGGTGTACTAGTGTTGGAGATTTTAAGTGGTAAAAGGAATACTAGTTTCTACCAATCAGGGGAGGCTCAGGACCTTTTAGGCTATGTGAGTTTTAGTTTTCTAATTACCCCCTTTGATTAGTGTATGTCACTCAGCTCTAATATTGTTAATGATATTAGAAGGAGAAATTGATTTTATTATCAAATTTGTAGGCATGGAAGCAGTGGAATGATGGGGCACCCTTGGAATTTGTGGATCCAAGTATAAGGGATTCGTGCTCGGTAAATGAAGTCCTAAGATGCATACACCTTGGCTTGCTGTGTGTTCAAGAGTCTGTAGACGATAGACCTACAATGGCAACAGTAGTCCTCATGTTAGATAGTTACTCTGTCACTCTACCGGTACCACAAAACCCGGGTTTCTTTATCAAAGATAGGACAGGATCAAACTTTGGCAACTCGGTATGGTCAGATCAATCGACTAGCAAGTCTATGCCTTGGTCTGTGAATGACGTCTCTATCTCTGAAATGGAACCGAGATAAAGGACGTGGATCTATGTGGGTGCCTGGGTGGCACGCACTAAAATTACTTTAGATTTTTTTAGTTCAAAATTCGGCTATATTGATGATATAAAGGTTATGTCTGTATAATTATTCACCAAGTGCCCCTTCATAAATAGTATCCTAAGGCCCTGTTTGGTAATAGCGTTTGAGGTAGCGATTAGCGTTTTGACCAGTCAAAACACTGCTAGTAAAAAAATTAATCTGCCTTTTTGGTAATGTAATATTGTTTCCTGTTAAATCATGCTTGATTATACATATACTATAAACGTGAAATACAAAGATTGTTTGTTTTAATTTGGAGGAAAGTGTTTTTCATAAAAACTCTTTTCAGATTTCCCTTGTTTGAATTTGACCGGATGAAAAAAGGAAACATTGGATGGAATGTTTAGTTTCCAATTAGTGGTATTGTGGAAACCATTTTCCTCCAAATTAGGAGGAATGCCACATTTTCTGTAAAAAAAAAATAAAAGAAAGCAAGTGAGGCATCTACTTGCTTATCAATTGAAGAGAGTTGAGGGTTTGAGATGATTGTACGTAATCAGGAAATTTTTGTACAATCAAACAAAGGAAAAACAATCTTCAATTGCATTTGCGTTTAGAAAACAATTTTCATGGAAAACAATTGCATCCTAGTCGTGTCACAGAATTTCATGTAGATGCCCATAAATTTAGATTCTCAAATAATACCATTATACGTTCAATGGTACTATATATATGCAGTGCTTATAGTGGTACTAATTTAAATACACTCTTAATGAATATAAATAAATTTCATTGTACGTCACTGTTTTCATTCTTCCAGGCCATGTACTTGTATTATGTTTTAATATTATTTTTTTACGGGATATTTTAATATTGCTATGTATTTGCTTGGTCAATACATAACTAATCTATATTACTCCTTACACCCCAATTGTCTCTCATTTTTTATTATACAACCTGTAGATATTCAAACCACCTTCCATCAGTTGTCCCACTAGACTTTATTATCCATACCAGCCACCATCTGATGTAGAAGTAACTAAGTAAGTGGTCATAACGAAAAGAGCCATTTCTAAATTGGTTGCGAAGATTTCAGTTTTCACTAAATTTGCAAAATTGATATTCGAACTAATAAAAGATTTGAATTTTCTAAATAATTCGAAAATGGGTACATTATGTTCAAAATTTATACACATCACATCATGGAAGATGGGTATTGTTGTTGCTGCAGTGGTTCTATCTATCTTAGTTACAATATTACTTGCCGTTTTCATATGCCGCATGAGAAAGAAAGCAAAGAAGTATGTCACGTTTGCTACTCAATTTGGTAAGTAAATAACCAAAAAAAAAAAAATAGATAATTTCTAATCCTTGCTTTATTAAGTTATGTGTTTTTTCGGTTAATCTTAAAGTAATTAATTAATTTCTATCTTTTGTTCTAGGAGACCATTTCACAGATGTTGAATCATTACAATATAGTCTTGGTGAACTTCAAATCGCAACAAATCAATTTTCACGCGAAAATAAACTAGGCCAAGGCGGTTTTGTTGTAGTATATAAGGTAATTAAACAATACAGAGTAAATATAGTAATCAATATTAAGGATGGAGAATTTCTTTATCGAATTGTGAAAGTCTAACTGGCTAATACAAGGGGGGGTGAATTGTATTTGAGATGAAATCTAAAAACTTTTGCGGAATTTAACTAAATGAAATAATGACGAGAAAGATATAGGCTTTTCTAAATTTCCACTATGTAATCAAACTCTTTACAAGTGAAGATTCAAACCCGTTAACAAGTTTCACAAATTAGGAACTTGTTCCCAACTCTCACAGAAGCCTTCAGCAACGAAGCTTCCTTGACCTCACTTTACAAACTCACAATCCCAACCCCAAAGTACTTGAATACAATCTGTGATTACAAATACCTATTGCACTCAAGAATATAGAAGGATAATAACTCTCTTTATGTTATTAGATGGCTACTGGAATTTTTATGCTCAAGAGTTGTGTTTTTCTGAGATAGTTTGCATGAGTATTTATAGAGAAGACTTAGTCATTAACCTCCACTATAATCACGTCCATGCCAACACCCCACTAACAACTTGTGGAGTTATCTTGACAGATGGTGATCATGAAGGAGGTTTCCTAGCCTTATCTCACTAATCCACTATCTCAACAACTTGATAAACATTAGCTATGATAAAATCGTATAATTAGAGATTCTCAAAGAAAACTGTTTGCTAACTTTAAAAAGTTTGTTTAAAAAAATTTTATTTTAAAAAGGATTTTATTTGAAAAGATAAATTAATTATTTATATTAAAACAACTAGATAATTATCTTTATTCGAAATTAGATGACTAGATAAAATTTTTATAAATTATCTTTTTCCTTAAGAAATTATCTTTTAAAACTAACTTTTATTCCAGTAGTCTTTTTAATAACATAAGTCATTGAGTTCCCTTCCGACTTTATATTATTGAGTGCTCACAATTAAAACTAGAACGTGAGATTTTCATGAGGCTTTTTAGAGAATGCTACTCCGCATCCAAGTTCCTACTCCGGAATGAACTTTGCTTGAACCCTTTATTCACCAAAGACTCAAAACATTCATTAGTCGAGTTTGTCAATTTGTCCATCAAAACCAAAAGGCTCAACAAATTCCCCCTTTTTGATGATGACAAACATTGACAAACTTAGGTAAATAAATTTGATTATTCTATTCTCATCATAATGCCCAATTTGCACAATTTGTTTGTGTTTTAGGTACGAACTATAGCCAGAGGTGGGGACTTGAAACAAGTTCCCTAAATATGCAACATCAAAATGAATGTGAGTATTTTTTACTGTAGCCGTGCATACACCATTGTTGTGTTTGAAAGTTTTTTGAATTCAAACAAAAGCTTAGGGTAAATTGGATAGTGAGAACAATTTTGGAACAAATGCACCCATTCTTGATAATCAATTAAGGAGATGAATTCGGAGAACTTACTTGCCGTACACCAGTCATAATTGATGTGATAGCCGTGAGTGTAGTTCCAAGATGGAGACTTTTGAGAGCTTCGCCTCTTTCTGTCACCTCCTTTCACGGTTGTAGCCTTTCTCTTTGTCGGAGCTTAAGGGTGAACGACGGCAAGTGGGACTGGTTCAGGGGAGCCGCCAGCAGAGGAAGGTTTCCGGGTTATTTGGTTTCGGTGTTGAGTTTAGGTTGGTTTTCATGGTTATGAAGGTGAGTTGAAAGGAAGGAGAAGATGAATAGTGTGAATAGGAAGGAGAGAGAGTGAGTCCGGTTTTTATGAGGGTGTATGGAGAAGTTAATTTGATGTGATTGATTAGGGTGGAGTGTTAAAGAAAAAAAGAGTTTAATTGGGAAGGGTGAGAAAAAGTGACGGTTTATATGGTGAGGTAGTAGAGTAGTTTTAGGGGTAGTAGGATTTTAATAGGGTGAATTAATTGCAACTTTCAAACTTATCACAATAAAAGATAAACGTGTAAAAGATAAGAAATATACGGAAAGTAAGGAGTAGTGAATATACTGGCTCCTTATCTTACGAAAAAAAATCTTTTTGTATTTTTGAATTGTATGAGGAATAGAAAAAGAATTGAACATAAAAAATAAGGAAGGAAAAAGATAAGAATAAAAAATAAGGAAGAAGAAAAAAAATAAGAATAAAAAATAAGGAAGAAAAAAAATAATAACAAGAAGGAAAGCAGATAAAAAAAATTAAGAAGATAGATAAGTGCAAATTGATCGTAAATTATGATGATAATTTACGTGATCATAAATACAGAGAATAAAGAATGATTAAAAGTATGTATAAGTGACTTTTCAATACTTCACAAATATTTCCCCTAGGTAATTTCAGCTGTGTTATGCACACAAGATTGAGCATAGCATTGTTAGTTACATCCGATTTTACCTTAGGGGTTCCAAACAAAAATCACTTGAGCCGTAGCATCCCCAATTCCACACGCATCTTTTCAAACTTGTCTCTGCTTAAAGGCTTAGTTAATATATCAGCAATTTGACATTCAGTAGAAATAAAATCTAGCTTAATTAAGCCCTTTTCAACATTATCTTTCAAAAAGTGATGCCTTACATGTATATGCTTAACTTTAGAGTGTTGTACTGGATCTTTAAAAGATGCAAATGGCACTTGTGTTATCACAATGAATAGGAACGCACTCTAAAATAATGCCATAGTCACGCAACTGTTGTTTTATCCATAGCAATTGAGAGCAACATGCAGCAGCAGCCACATATTCTGCTTCGACAGTGGATAGAGCAACAGTGTTTTGTTTCTTGGAACTCCAAGAAACCATGCAAGAGCCTAAGAATTGGACCATACCTGACGTGCTTTTACGATTTACTAAATCTCCTGCATAGTCAGCATCAGCATATCCTCTTAGGTCAAACGAGTCACTTTTGATAGAACAGACACAAGTCTTCCGTCCCTTTTAAGTATCGTAGAATCCTTTTGACGGCTGTTAGATGCGATTCCTTTGGATCCGATTGAAATCTTGCACAAAGACCTACACTAAGCAAAATGTCAGGTCTGCTAGTAGTTAAATATAACAAGGAACCAATCATACCTCTGTATTTTGTTTGGTCCACACGAGTTCCCTTGGGGTCTTGGTCCAACCTTGTGGTTGTTCCCATGGGAGTGTGGTTTATCTTTGTGCTTTCCATACTGTATTTTTTCAATAACTCCTTCACATATTTCTGCTGATGGATCATTATTCCTTCGTTAGTTTGCTTAATTTGGAGCCCAAGAAAGAAGTTGAGTTCCCCCATCATGCTCATCTCAAACTCACTGCTCATTAAATCGGCAAAGTACTTGCACAAGGATTCATTAGTTGCACCGAAAATAATATCATCAACATAAATTTGTACAATTAATAAATGAGTTCCTTTTGATTTTAAGAACAAAGTTTTATCAACTTTTCCTCTTGTGAAATCATTTTGTAAAAGGAATTTAGAAAGTCTTTCTTACTAGGCTCTTGGAGCTTGTTTTAATCCATACAGTGCTTTATCAAGCTTAAAAACATGGTTAGGAAAGTTTGGATCCTCAAATCCAGGTGGTTGTTCAACATAGACGTCTTCCTTTAAAAAACCATTTAAAAAAGCACATTTGACGTCCATTTGATAAAGTTTAAAACCCATAAATGCAGCAAATGCAATTAAAATACGAATTGCTTCTAATCTAGCTACAGGAGCGAAAGTCTCCTCAAAATCGATACCTTCCTGCTGATTGTAGCCTTTAACAACCAATCTTGCCTTGTTCCTTACAATTGTGCCATGTTCATCTAGC